TGTGTGTGGTGTGTGTGTGTGTGTGTGTCTCTGTGTGTGTGTGTGTGTGGTGTGGTGTGTGTGTGTGTGTGTGAGGAGCACAGAACGCATTTATCCTGCACTGTAAATCACAAACATCATTTCTAGTTGTTAATATATAAATAACGAACGAAACGGAGCTAAAAAACAAAGTCATTTCAAACAATGGCAAGGTTTATTTCACCTCGATGGTCCCTTGGACTCTGAAGTACCTCGCTGAGGTTGTGCAACACGCGTGAAAAACCTCCAAAAGAAAACAGGACGAGGATCGATGAGACGGAGAATCCAAACCCTTCCATTAGACACATAATATCAGACACCGAAAACCATGAAAACACAGAAGAGAAGAAACATGAAGCCTGTTTAAGGACCAGTAGGATTTTTTCTGGACATTTAAATCAGGATTAAAATCAATTTCTGCCTTTATGCATGTTGTGACAACATGCCCCGGTAGCATCCTCCATTATATATATTTAAAATGTATTATGACTATTTAATGGATTTTATATGGAAGCTTGGTTCACAATGGAATAAAAATCAGAATTGTGAGAAAAAGAGCCAGAATTATGATATAAAGATATATGAGATTTAAAGTTGCAATTACCTTTTAAAATTTTTTTTTTTTATCTCATGGCGGAAACAAGCTTTCATATTTTTGTGGCGTATTTAAATGGTAAAATAATTTATTCAATGCCAAAAATGGAAAGGTAACATGCAAAAAATATATATATAAACCATTGTTTTCACTAACAGAAACTGTAATGACTCAATTTTATAAAATGGCATCATATAAATAAATTAGGATTTCTCTTGGTGACACATTTAAACTCTAAATTCTATAATTTCTTAAATTCTCATTCAATATAACAAAGAGTGAAAAACTTAAGGGGGTCTGAATACTTTCCGTACCCACTGTACATTGGGTTTTTTAACTCTTAAGTTCTCATCACTTAAATACCATCATTTTTAGTTCGAAAAACGGGCTTTATTTTCTTAAAGCAAAACATAATTGCTTATTTCTATTTTTTTCGATTGAAATACGATTCAGAAATGTTCTAGACCGGTTGCACTCCTTTAATACATTGGTGGGTGTTTTAATAAGTTAATTTCTAGTGGAATTCAGTCATTTTAATAATTACAAAAAAATCATTTATCTACATTTCTACTGTATTGCACATTCGATTGCAAATGATCAAGTGAAATTTAGTCCAAACTAAACTACTTTGGGGGTCAAAACACGCTTCAGTCGAGAAATCATGTGTAAAATTACAAATATAGCAGAATTATATTCTAGATATATATATATAGTAAAAGCTGCTGTTCGTTTTCAATTGGTCAGTTCATATAGTGAATGTAAAGACAGTAATATTTGGCATGACATTAGTTTTAATACGACTATAGCACCAGATTAAAGAAGTTCTTAATGAATCAGCATTGATTTGGCTGGAAGTGTTAGTGTTCCCTCTCATATCCTCAGAAAGCATCGTGAAACGGACAAACATCACAGATCCAGACGTGG